TGTGTATTTGGTATAAGATTTTAGATAAAGACAATCGAGTTAGCAAAGTTCTTCACCAAGAAGAGATGAATTTGGAGGATGCAATTACAAGAATAAACGAGCTTATTGTTTTCTTTCGAAAGTTTAGAGAAGACGGTTTTAAAAACATGATGAAAGAAGCCAATGATGTTGGTATCGATCCGACATTTCCGATAAAAAGGGTGGTTCGTAGAAAGAAGTATTTTGATGAGGATGTGGAAGCGAATGTTGAAGGTAGTCAATCACCGGAGGATAATTTTAGAGTTTCCTATTTCCTTCACATTATTGATCAAGCTCTTACATCACTCAAAGATCGCTTTGAACAATTCGAGCTCTATGAAGAAGTCTTCGGATTTTTGTTTAATGCAAAGTTCATGAGTATTGGTGAAGAAAAATTGATGGAACTGTTGGATAGGGAATTCCTAATCTATTTTGGTAACATGAGGTTATTAGGATTCCTAGTCTATTTTGGTAACATGAGGTTATTAGGATTCCTAATCTATTTTGGTAATAGGTTATTAGGATTCCTAATTTGATTTGGTTTTGGTTTAGAATTCCCTAGTATGTTTATGATTTTAGGATTTCTATATATATGGAACAATTGGAAGAGAAAATTGGTGGAAAAGAAAAATTAGGGATATTTGGAGCACAGAAAAGAGGTATTTTCTGAGCTATTTGTTTAGGGTTTTATTTGGAGAGATTAAGAGCTTGATGGTGAGATTAGTTTGTTCATTCGAGTGATTTGTAATCTCAGTTTGTACTCTTTCTCTATTAGTGAAAACCCCATCCCCTTCTTGCTCCGTGGACGTAGGCAACTTGCCGAACCACGTAAAACTATTGTGTTTGGATTTGTGCTGTTGTTTTGATTTGTTTGGCCTTTATCTCGACGTTTGTTTGATTTGGTTCTCGAAGCACGCCCGTTTGGTTGTCACGCTTCTGCGACGCGCACAACAATTGGTATCAGAGATCCAGATTTCAGATCTAGGGTTTTATCTTGGTTGGAGGAGTAGATCAATTTGGAAGTTCGGCTAGGGCTTCGTTTGGTGAGAAAGGTGGGATCTTTTTGGTAAAGACTCTATCTTTTTTAGTTTGGATCTATTCTTCGTTTACTCCGCATTGGTTTGTTGGCGCTTGGGCTATTTGGAGGAGTAGATCGCTTTGGAGGCTCTTCGAGGGCTTCGTTTGGAGATAAAGGTGAGATTTTTCCTATTTGTGGATCTCGTTGCCGTCGTGCGGGGTGAGATCGTTTGGAGACTCTTGTTAGGGTTTCATTTGGAGGTAAAATTCTCTCCTTTATCAGTTTGGATCTATTCTTCATTTGTTGGTGCTTTGAGATAGTTGGCCGAGATAGAAGGATTTGAGGCTGGGTTATTTGTTTATTGATACGGTGCATTGGATTATTGAGAAGTGCCCTTGACCTGCATATTGAAGTCCTTTGAGCACGTTGGTATGAGCAAGGAGACCGAGGTGGAGTTTGGCACTTCTATTTGATGATTGAAGGGTCTTCTATTTGGTGTTCATTCAGGCATTTAGGGGCCTTCCAAGGAGGCATCATTGGAAGGTAAATTGGTATTTTGGTTTCCTATGTTGGGGATTATACTAGGCATTTGTGGGTTGCAACCAAATTTCGTTGGTTTTGAAGTCCTAGTAGTCAACAACAGTTGAAGAAGTGTATTGGGAGTAAGGTGAAGGTACTTCATTCTGGTTGTAGAAGGAGGTACAAGAGGGACCTACTGTATTTGTGCCGAGCTCATGGTAGTTTGAGACACTTCATTGGTGTGGAAACTTTGAGGCGACAAGGCGGGATGGCAGATTTAGGCAGCTGTTCCTTTCTGGAGGAGGATCGGCGTTTGATGTCAAACATTGGCATTGGTGTGCAGGCTACGACATGTTTGGGCCGTCTCATGTATAGGTTGCCGACTGCTGCATGTATAGATATGGGATCTGGTGGAGCTGCTTCAGATTTTGGGTTGTGTCGGATGTTTGGCTACCCAGCACTTGGTCACATCGTGGATGTGAGATTTGATCCGATAGCACATTTGGGATTCAGAGACGTGTTTGATTATCAGGTATTGGCTTCTGACTTTGTTCTGAGCAGGCATGTCACATTTGACTCTCAGTAGGTGGAGAGTGGTGATCAGATCTTTAGGACATCGCAGCGGGTGGAGAGTGATGCTACTCCACGTTGGGTGGAAACTCCAGATCATACTGCATCATTTGGGATTCCAGCTGATGTGACACAGTTTGGAAATTGTGTTGATTTGAATGCAGATGATAGGTTGATTGATTCGAGTACAACTGATGGATGTAGTCTGGATATGGCCATTGGTTCATCTCAGGTGGAGATGTTTGGATTAGTTCAGTTTGGAGCCATTGGAGGTGCTATCAGCCGCAGACTTGATCGTGATATTGGAGAAGGGTTGCGAACTCTTCTAGTGGATTGAGGCCTTTGGAGGCCATTTGGGTGAACTACGTGAAGGATTGATTCCTTGGGCAAGAGGATACGTAGGCAGTCTGTTTTGATGCAGCCAATTTGGTGAGTAGATATCGACATTTGGGTGAGTGTTCGCGCTCCTGTTTGGGTCTCGACTTGTGTGGATGGAGTCTGTTGTCATGAGTCCGTTGCCGTGGCGTACTGGACGCAACAAGTAAGGCATTTGGTTTGGTCGGTGTCAGCTCAGTTTTGGGAAAACTTCGCCGAGGTGGAGAATTATTGGATAGGGAATTCCTAATCTATTTTGGTAACATGAGGTTATTAGGATTCCTAGTCTATTTTGGTAACATGAGGTTATTAGGATTCCTAATCTATTTTGGTAATAGGTTATTAGGATTCCTAATTTGATTTGGTTTTGGTTTAGAATTCCTAGTATGTTTATGATTTTAGGATTTCTATATATATGGAACAATTGGAAGAGAAAATTGGTGGAGAAGAAAAATTAGGGATATTTGGAGCACAGAAAAGAGGTATTTTCTGAGCTATTTGTTTAGGGTTTTGTTTGGAGAGATTAAGAGCTTGATGGTGAGATTAGTTTGTTCATTCGAGTGATTTGTAATCTCAGTTTGTACTCTTTCTCTATTAGTGAAAACCTCATCCCATTCTTGCCCCGTGGACGTAGGCAACTTGCCGAACCACGTAAAACTATTGTGTTTGGATTTGTGCCGTTGTTTTGATTTGTTTGGCCTTTATCTCGACGTTTGTTTGATTTGGTTCTCGAAGCACGCCCGTTTGGTTGTCACGCTTCTGCGACGCGCACAACAGGAACATTGCACTAAATTACAAAGATACTTGGAACACAACCAACAATGTGATATACACGGGAAAGATTTATTCAATGACCTATGAGCTTTACAAACAATGTTGCCGAAGGAAGTGACTAAATCAATAGACATCCTTGACTTCATAAGATCTTATTGGGATGATGATGGCTTTCAATGTACATGGGTCGCTTATCGGATTTTGTTAACTATCCCAGTTACGGTTGCCTCGACGGAGAGAAGTTTTTCCAAGTTGAAATTGATAAAAAGTTATCTTCGCACTATCATGTCACATGAATGATTGAATGGATTGGCAATGATATCAATTGAAAATGAATACTTGGAGGAACTTGAGTATGATGACTTAATTGAAGAATTCGCTTCAAAAAATTCAAGGAGAAGTGTTTATTTTTCTTTGAATTAAATTGTAGCACAAATGTAATCTCTTCTTATACGAATATTGATTTTGTATGAGAATATTTTTAGTTTGAGCCCAATATAGAACGCTAAATTGTATTATATGTATTTATTTTTATTGTTATTGTTCGTACCAAATTTTAATATAAGGGGCAACCAAAATTGGATTAGGCTAGGACAACCCAAAGTTTAGGGCCGGTCCCTAATTGACGCACCCTAAAAGTAACACGATATATAGTATTATTATATATATATATATATATATATATATATATATATATATATATATATATATATATATATATATATATTCTTCAATAACTAATTTTACTTTCGAACAACTTATAAAGAACGGTATTCTAGAAACATGAGACCGTGCTTGTACTTTTTTTCACCCAATATTCCTAACTTCAAAATAAATCAAGCAAAGATGAGCAATCAGTTGTTTTAATTCAAAAGTTTGAAATTAGGTAGCATTTGCTTTACATGATTGATTATGCCTTGGTCATAGGGGCTCGGACTTTATTCATTACGCAGAATATATAATGATTTATGAAGCATTAAAGGTTGATGCTTATTTCGGGTCACAGTTTCAATTAATTGGACTGGTCCGAGGACGACAGCGTAATAAAAATTAAAAAAACGAAGAAAAGTGACACAACAGTGCCCAGCAATAATTTATAATCACTACAACACCTGAAATCTACCATAGCGGCCGAAAAACGCTATAGTATTATTTCATAGCGTTTTAATCAACGCTGTGTCAGAACCCGCTATAGTAGGTCTGTGGCTTTACATAGCGTTTCCCCAAACGCTATCAAAAAGTTTCCAACCATAGCGTTTTTATGTAGCTATAAAAGAGTATTTAATAGCGTTTCTATATTGCTATGACAAATATCTTTTATAGCTACATAAAAACGCTATTAGTTAGTTTCCAACCATAGCATTTTTATGTAGCTATAAAAGAGTATTCAATAGCGTTTCTATATTGCTATGACAAATATCTTTCATAACGGTTGAAAAACGCTATTACTTAGTTTTCATTCATAGCATTTCAACGCTGTTATTGTCTTACATTTGATAGCGTTTGAGTTACTACAATGGCGTTTCAACGAATGTTGTCTTTCTTCTTTTAATAGCATTTCAGCAATTGTTTCTACTTCTTATAGCATTTCAGTTGTGCCTATAAACCTTTAGAGGTTGAACTAGAAATAACTTCCAATTGTGACAACCATAAAAGAAAATATTTCATTTAAAGGTTCAAACTAATACATAACCAAGTTGTAGCATACAAGAAGAGTCAACACAAATGTAACAAAAAACAAATTACTAGTCTTTGGATAATCCAACATGGAGTACAAGAAATTAACCATAGTACACAGAACAACAAAAACTAACTTTGGTGCATTACATATGCTTCCCAGCTATAGAAAATAAAATTTGCAACATAAGCATCATATACTTCAAAAAGCAATAAATACATAATCATACGATGTATTCACCAATCAGGTCTCTCGTACAGCCTTTCTTTGCACGTACCATGTAAATCTTCAAGCTACACAGAACAACAAAAACTAACTTTGGTGCATTACATATGCTTCCCAGCTATAGAAAATAAAATTTGCAACATAAGCATCATATACTTCAAAAAGCAATAAATACATAATCATACGATGTATTCACCAATCAGGTCTCTCGTACAGCCTTTCTTTGCACGTACCATGTAAATCTTCAAGCAAACCTTCTTCGTCAGCCTTCTTACTGACATTTGTATTAATGTCCAAGCCACTTCTGTATGCTGCTATACTTTTCATGGCAACAATTTTACCAGTGACTGTACCAGACAAGTTTAGGAACTAATAGAAAAGGTATTGAAAATAAATAATAGAAAAAATGTAACTGCATCAATGTTAAGGATATGATTTCATCTTTGCCATAAAAGTTTCAGTGAATGACTTCAGTGAGCATTTTGAACCGCAACTTCGTGTGCTTCTCTAAGAACATCCTGCATATAAGTTGTTAGTTCTGGAGATGATTCGATCAACACACAAGAACTATAGATAAGGATATATGTATATATAACAGTATGTACCTCCTCTACTGGCTTCGTGCGGTCAAAAGATGAAGTGTATGCCTCAGTAGCAGAATTATATGCCCTACGACATTCTGCCTCTTCAACACTCTGCACAAGTAATTAGAAAATCAACAATCAAAATATAAACAACAGTCCCATCTGTTTTATTTAATTAGGGGAACTGTAACAAACAATTATCAATAATTCCACATCGAGAGCAGTATGTAATATAAAGTCATGCATAAGGAAGTTTTGGCACTTTCTAGACCACAACAGCATTTAAAGTGGTCACCAATTATGTATAACTTACCAACTTTTCAAAGCATAACAACTTTATCTGATGGCTACCTTATTCTCAATACTAATCATTAATATATATAGTTCTGTAACAAAGGTTAACACGAAGGACTTTGAACCCCCAAATAAAAAAGTTTTCTGTTTATATAGCTACCTTATTTATTGATAGAATCAATATGTGAAGTGCAAGGAGAAATGAAATCTCAAAATATAGAAATGAAATATCAAAATGTGCTTATCTGATTACTGAAAAAGGACTTTCAAAGTTGAGTTCTGTGTGTGTGAGACAAATATTTTCATATTAAATTTAGTATTCATGAAGTACTATGATTTTGTTGTTTTCCAGTTTCTCAAGGGAAATCATGAAGTTTGCCTCTAGAATTTTGTTTTTCATATACTCTAAACTATTAATGTATATTTAGGGGGAAAATATATACTTTTAATAGTCTGAGCATATATAGGAATGTGAAGAAATAATATGAAAGGTATACTGAAATTGCAACACTTGATATCTCACAGTTTCACATGTATACATAATGTGAAGAAATAATATGAAAGGTAGGAAATTGCAATACTTGACTTGATATCTCACAGTTTCACAAGTATAAATTAGCAATTAATGTCTAATGTGTGTGTATATATGATTGAGCTTAAAGTACCAACACACATAATATAAACCTAAACTAATGTTACCCAAGCTTGATCTTGATCTTCAATAAGCTTGACTTGGTACACATTACGGATGAAGCTTGAACTTGGATCTTCAACTTGAATAGCAAGGCTTCAAATATAGCTACCTTATTTATTGATAGAATCAATATGTGAAGTGCAAGGAGAAATGAAATCTCAAAATATAGAAATGAAATATCAAAATGTGCTTATCTGATTACTGAAAAAAGACTTTCAAAGTTGAGTTCTGTGTGTGCACGTGAGACAAATATTTTCATATTAAATTTAGTATTCATGAAGTACTATGATTTTGTTGTTTTCCTGTTTCTCAAGGGAAATCATGAAGTTTGCCTCTAGAATTTTGTTTTTCATATACTCTAAACTATTAATGTATATTTAGGGGGAAAATATATACTTTTAATAGTCTGAGCATATATAGGAATGTGAAGAAATAATATGGAAGGTATACTGAAATTGCAACACTTGATATCTCACAGTTTCACATGTATACATAATGTGAAGAAATAATATGAAAGGTAGGAAATTGCAATACTTGACTTGATATCTCACAGTTTCACAAGTATAAATTAGCAATTAATGTCTGCAAACTTCACGAAGAAGCTAAAATGAGAAGTATATGCTGCTTTCTTAATTAGTCTGTCCCATGCCAACACGATTCACTAGTCATCAGTAGTGATCAGATCAATGCACGCATTGATGGAATGATCTACCTAATGCTAGAAAAATATTCGAAATTTGTGATATTGATCCAAAACAACTTTAGAGATACAACATTAATCATGAACGCCAGTCAACCTTTTATATATGAACTTTAACCCTCTTAGGTGAGCAATTGCGGATCACGTAGTTTTTTATGATATTGATCCAAAACAACTCACATACCTTTCAATGTAGAGGAGGATAAAAGGCAGCAGCGCCGGAGGAGTGGCGAGCAAAGCCAGTCGGAGAACAGCTGAAAGAGGATGAGAATGCCAAATTAAGTATGAGTTATCAATTGATGCTTATCAAGTATGGGGTATGAAGAGTAAATTTCCAACCGATCAAATGAATAGAAATCATCTTTACTTTGAGCGAGTAAGTTGGAAACATCTTCATCTTCATCTACATGTAAATTAAATCATTTTACCTGGACACATTAGATGAACCTGGAGTGCTTGAAAGTCCAAAAGATACAGATGGGAACCTTCTAAAAATTGATATGTCAACAATACCACCAATAGCTGTGATCCTAGAAATGTTGTGTACAGTAGTCAGCTAAATGATTTTCCACAATAACAGACTTGATGACCATACTCACCAAATTAATAAGATTGACATACTCTATAAAAATTCTAAATATTGAAAAGCAGTAGCACCAAACGCCAAATTTTGATTTGTTACCGATGTCTCCATGACTCGCTACTTTATGCAAGTAAAATCTTCTATCCTCATATATCAAAGTTTCAGATTTGATGAAACATCATTTGTTCATTACCTCTGTGATTCTATTATTGAGATGACCAATCTCCAGCTTAAGCATCTCAACCTCCTTCCGACAAGCATCCAACTCAAGTTCTTTTGTGCGCAGAAGGTTTACAAAATTTTCAGCTTCCATTTTGGCCATCTGAGCTGCTTCGCGAAATTTCTAGGTACAAAAATATATCCTTCCATTACAGAACGTAACTATGCAGAATAAAGAAAGAAAGGCAAATGCCTTACATTAAGGTACATGGACATCTACACAATAAGATGAGAAAATATGCATGAGAAAATATCAAGTCCCAAACCTGCCACTACACCAGTTATTTCACCTGAAGACCAAGCTGAAACATGTCCAACCAGTTCAAAGTTCAAGATGGATCAAACCATTAAAGCAACTATTACCATGTCAAATATGATAAAATTTTAATTGCAAATTAGCTAATTCATCACATCTTCCCTCCAAAGACTTTTTTTTTGGTTCACCTTGCTCCAAACTCACTCGCTAGCTTATTAAAGGTCTAAGCATAAATTTTGGGATTATGCAGCCTGCAGATCAGTACCAACAACCAACCTATCATAATGCTTAAACTTTGAAAATTTACGAAACAATTAAGCCACACAAAGCTGCAGTATTGCACATATCATCGATTACCTGTACAAAAAGTAAAAAAACTAAAGATCTAACAACAGTGAATTCAAAGGGCCAACACTAACACTAAATAAGAGAGGAAAAGTAGAAAACATGCAATCCTTGCAGGGGGGAACACAAATTTGGACAAAAAGAATGCTCACATATATGTCATTAATATCCAAACCCTAGAATTGAACAACAATATTTAATCTGTAAACTTAAACCCCACGCTTTAGAATCATCGTTTACTATTTGATTCAATACATGACAAGAAAATAGTAATTAACAAAATTGAATCAAGGGCGTCGAAATTTCTTAAAGAATCAAGAATTAATTCATGGGCACTCCAAAAAAGTAACAAAATTGGTAGAATCTAGCAACACATTCAAATCAAACGCTCTAAAAATACAAGAAATAAGTGATATCAAGATTAGGGTTTTTTATTCGAACCTAAAAGACACAACCGGTCCAATATCCTTGCAAATCTCAATCATTTACTCCTCGGTGAAGCCGTAGGGTATATTTCCAACAGCAACAAGGAAACAAAACCCAAAAAAATCACAAATTTGAAACCTAATATCTATCTAAGCAGAAAAAGATTGGTTTTTTCCACAAACTCACCGAATACAGAGCAGCGGGATGAGCCGACGTTGGAAGCCATGTCAAGATTCGAACCTTGAGAGAAGAATTAGGGCAAATCAAAACCCTAGCGAGAGCAAAGAGAGCGAATTAATCAGAGAGATCCAGCGACAAACTTCAGGTCTCGAAGGTAGCGGCGAACTCTCGATGCCAGCGGCGAACTCCGACGACAGCGAACTCCGATTTGGGGCCGATTTTTTTATGAGAGAGAGCCAGAGAGAGAACGGAGGAACCGCCTCAGCGGCGCCTCTACGAGAGAGCTCCGACGATGATGACGCGAGGAGGAGGGCGGCGATGGTTTGGCGACGAGAGAGGGAGTGAGGGCGGCGCCACTGGCAAGTTTTGGCGAGAGAGAGTGAGGGAGGGAGAGAATTGCAGAGATCTAAGGGAGAGGGATCGAAATAATTTGGGGGGAGGGGGGGGGAAGAAAATTTAGGGCTAGCTACGGGGGCGGGACACTTGAGAGGGTTTAGTTACTTTTCAACGCGCATGTTTTAATTTTCAGTCTCCCGCTTACTTATAGCGTTTAAAATTTTTCGAACGCTATCAAAAAATAAGGCACATATGATCTATAGCACTTACAACATAAACGCTATTATTCAACGCTATAAAAAAAATAGTTTTGTTGTAGTGAATTAAGAGCGTCATGCTTTACGTGTAGGAAAATGATCTGATTAATACTGCTGCTTACTATTTCAAATACTAATTTCTCGTGTTGATGTCACCTTTGAATTAGCAATTTGTACTACGTGTGGTTCATCGAATTTATTTTGTCTTAGTAACTTGTTTTATGCTGTGATTGTAGCTACTGTGTTGTTGGTATTGAGAGATCTTAGTTTGAGATCTGTTCTTGCTGTAATTTCTTGTTGATTAATAAGAAATTTACTGTGTGGCTCCCGAGGACGTAGGCAGTTGTCGAACCTCGTTAAATCTTGGTGTATTTTTTCTATTCCGCGTTTCTCCTATTTTAGGGGTTTCGGTGTAAAATTCCCAACAACTGGTATCAGAGCGTAAAACGATCTAGAGGAAGTCAGATTCAAGTGGGAGCGATGACCACAGATGAAGAAAAAGTGAGACTTGAGAAGTTTGATGGATCAGATTTTGGATTCTGGAAAATGCAGATAGAGGATTATCTGTATCAGAAAAATCTATATCAACCTCTCTCGGTGAAGAAGCCGGAGGGTATGAAGGAAGAAGATTGGAATCTTCTGGACAGAAAAGCCCTCGGAGTTATCAGATTGACATTAACTCGCAATGTTGCGTTCAACATAGCGAAGGAGAAGGCCACGGCGGGTCTTATGGCAGCACTCTCAAATATGTATGAGAAGCCATCAGCCTCAAATAAAGTCCATTTGATGAGGCGGTTGCTCAATCTGCGAATGGCGGAAGGTGCATCGGTAGCACATCATCTCAATGAACTCATTATAGTCACGATCCAATTGAGTTCAGTTGATATTGAGTTTGATGAGGAAGTTCGAGCGTTGATCCTTTTGTCTTCCCTACCAGAGAGTTAGAACGCTACAGTCACTGCTGTGAGTAGCTCGTCGGGAAGCAACAAGTTAAAGTTCGACGACGTTCGTGATTTGGTTCTAAGTGAGGAGATCCGACAGAGAGAGACGAATGAAGCTACAACCTCTTCAGTATTGCATACAGAGTCAAGAGGTAGAAATTCAACCAGAGGAAATGGATCAGATGACAGGAGATCCAAATCCAGAAATCCCAACAGTTCGAAAGCTATCGAGTGTTGGAAGTGCGAAAAAACCGGGCACTACAAGAATCAGTGCAAGAGTGCACAGAAGGAGTGGGAGGCAAAGGCAGATATGAATGTTGCTTCCACCTTAGGAGGAGATGATGCATTGATATGCTCTTTGTATAGCAAGGAGGAGTCTTGGGTGTTAGACTCTGGAGCATCATTCCATGCTACTTCTCAGAAAGAATTCATCGAGAAGTATATCCCCGGAAACCTTGGAAATGTATACCTTAATTGGTGACGACCAACCATGTGCTATTATTGGCAAAGGTGTAGTGAAGATTAAGCTGAATGAGTTAGTATGGGAGCTGAAGGATGTCAGGTATATTCTCGACCTGAAGAGAAACTTAATCTCAGTAAGCCAGTTGGCTAGTGAAGGCTACACGACATTAGAGGATTTCAAAAGGTGCAATGACGATTGCCAGAGGTAGGAAGACTGGTACTCTGTATATGACAGCAGGTGCACGTTGTTTGATCTCAGTTGTAGCAGACAATGAGACTTCAAAGCTGTGGCACCAGAGACTCGGTCATATAAGTGAAAATGGGATAAAAATTATGCACACAGAGAGAAAACTCCCAGGTTTACAATCAGTATAGATTGATATGTATGAAGAATGCATACTTGAAAAGCAGAAGAGAGTTAGCTTTCAGACAAGTGGCAGAACCCCCAGGAAGCAGAAGCTAGAGCTTGTTCACTCAGATGTTTGGGGACCAACCACCACCGCGTCCATTGGTGGGAAACACTACTTCGTGACTTTTATTGATGATCACTCTCGGAATGTGTAGGTCTACTTTCTGAAGCACAAGTCAGAAGTGTTTGAAGCTTTCAGGAGATGGAAAGCTATGGTCGAGAATGAGACCGGTCTGAGAATAAAGAAACTGAGAACAAACAATGGTGGTGAGTATGAAGACACCAAATTCAAGAAGTTCTGCTATAAACACGGTATCAGAATGGAGAGAACCGTGCTTAGCACACCTCAGCACAACGGTGTGGCTGAGCGCATGAATAGAATGTTGACAGAGAGAGCTTGAAGCATTCGAACACGGTCAGGTCTACCGAAGCATTTCTGGACAGAAGCAGTCAACACAGCAGCTTACTTGATCAACCGAGGGCCATCGATTCTATTGGAACATAGAATACCAGAAAAGGTATGGTGCGGAAAGGATGTAACCCTCTCACATCTCAAAGTTTTCGGTTGTGTAGCTTATGTGCATATTAGTGATCAAGGCAGGAATGAGCCTGATCCCAAGTACAAGAAGAGATGAAATCTCTGATCTCCAACCAGACATGGGATCTAGTTGAGCTGTCCATGGGGAAGAAGACACGTCACAACAAGTGGGTGTATCGAGTGAAAAAGGAACAGGATGGTTCTAGAAGATACAGAGCCCGACGAGTTGTCAAAGGATTTCAATAGAATATCCAAGGAAGAAAGAATCCAGCGGATATGTTGACAAAGGCAGCGACCTTTCAGGAACTGGAGTTGTGTGCAACTTCAGTTGGCCTTCATGCATAGGTGATGAGGGCGGAGCCACACAAGAGGAGGTGCTTGATGAGGTAGCCTGCTGACGACGGTTTGATCTCCAAGTGGGAGATTGTTGAAATTGGGTGGAGATCTAACCTTGCAGGTGAGCTTCTCCAGGCGAGGACGAAGCTCAGGCGAGGTTGAGGCGGACGAGCGATAGCAGGCGAGCTCAAGATCCACGCAGGCGAGCGTGAGTGACGTGGTCCAGGCGAGATCTGTCTGGCGAGCTCTCGAGTGACGCGGTCCAGGCGAGTGAGGTCTGGCGAGCTCGTGGCGACGAGCTTGAAAGGGGGGGCTGCAGGCGGGGTCGTGATCCTCTTGCGGGCGAGGTCAAGATCCAGAGTTGCAGGCGAGTTTTGACTTCTCGTGCATGTGAGGTCTTCGCAGTTGTAGGCGAGTTCGACTCACAGGCGCACAGGCGACCTCGTGGCGGATCCAGGCTGTCGACAGTCTGTCGACAGCTCAGCTAGGGTTTCCCTATAAAAGGGAAACCCCAGAGCTCAAACCCGCTACTTCGGTCGAGAATGAGACCAGTCTGAGAATAAAGAAACTGAGAACAAACAATGGTGGTGAGTATGAAGACACCAGATTCAAGAAGTTCTGCTATAAACACGGTATCAGAATAGAGAGAACCGTGCTCAGCACACCTCAGCACAACGGTGTGGCTGAGCGCATGAATAGAATGTTGACAGAGAGAGCTTAAAGCATTCGAACACAGTCAGGTCTACCGAAGCATTTCTGGACAGAAGCAGTCAACACAGAAGCTTACTTGATCAACCGAGGGCCATCGGTTCTATTGGAACATAGAATACCAGAAAAGGTATGGTGCGGAAAGGAGGTAACCCTCTCACATCTCAAAGTTTTCGGTTGTGTAGCTTATGTGCATATTAGTGATCAAGGCAGGAATGAGCCTGATCCCAAGTACAAGAAGAGATGAAATCTCTGATCTCCAATCAGACATGGGATCTAGTTGAGCTGTCCATGGGGAAGAAGACACGTCACAACAAGTGGGTGTATCGAGTGAAAAAGGAACAGGATGGTTCCAGAAGATACAGAGCCCGACGAGTTGTCAAAGGATTTCAATAGAATATCCAAGGAAGAAAGAATCCAGCGGATATGTTGACAAAGGCAGCGACCTTTCAGGAACTGGAGTTGTGTGCAACTTCAGTTGGCCTTCATGCATAGGTGATAAGGGCGGAGCCACACAAGAGGAGGTGCTTGATGAGGTAGCCTGCTGACGATAGTTTGATCTCCAAGTGGGAGATTGTTGAAATTGGGTGGAGATCTAACCTTGCAGGCGAGCTTCTCCAGGCGAGGACGAAGCTCAGGCGAGGTTGAGGCGGACGAGCGATAGCAGGCGAGCTCAAGATCCACGCAGGCGAGCGTGAGTGACGTGGTCCAGGCGAGATCTGTCTGGCGAGCTCTCGAGCAACGTGGTCCAGGCGAGCGAGGTCTGGCGAGCTCGTGGCGACGAGCTTGAAAGGGGGGGCTGCAGGCGGGGTCGTGATCCTCTTGCGGGCGAGGTCAAGATCCAGAGTTGCAGGCGAGTTTTGACTTCTCGTGCATGTGAGGTCTTCGCAGTTGTAGGCGAGTTCGACTCACAGGCGACCTCGTGGCGGATCCAGGGCTGTCGACAGTCTGTCGACAGCTCAGCTAGGGTTTCCCTATAAAAGGGAAACCCAGAGCTCACAACCCCGTCTTCTCCCCCCCCCCTCTCTCTCTTTCGCAATTTCTCCCCAGGCGACAGCGGGTTTTTTTCCCCGTTCCCCTTTTTGGCGGTGGCTCTCTCTGCTCTCCTTTTTCTCCAGCGTTCTCTCAAAAATTTGAGGAAAGGGGGGTTTGTTTAAGAAGGGATTTAAAGAGAGGATTAGGGAAGGGGGTGTTTAATTTTGAGAGAGAGGATTAACACTATAGCTACAGTGTTGTTGGTATTGAGAGATCTTAGTTTGAGATCCGCTCTTGCTATAATTTCTTGTTGATTAATAAGAAATTTACTGTGTGACTCCCGAGGACATAGGCAGTTGCCGAACCTCGTTAAATCTTGGTGTATTTTCTCTATTCCGCGTTTCTCCTGTTTTAGGGGTTTCGGCATAAAATTCCCAACAATTATTAATTAAAAACTAAAATCATAGATACAATAATTCAATATTTTTTCTACTAACGTTACAAGAGAATTTTCTATTGCTTCTCCATTTTCCTTCAAAACATGTATACAGTTCATTTGACTCCTAGGATAATAGAAAATATTACACCAAGTATGATATTATATGGACTACAATACTATTAAATACGAAAAAATGCATATATTTATTAATACCTCCCTTATTTCACACGTAATTGTGTATTAGAACTGGCCACTTACCGCCCCCCTAAACTCCAGTTGACTTCTGTCTCAAAGCATATCTCTTATGCAACTTTATTTATTTTATCTAATGTCAAAAACACATGAACCAATAATCCCATTGGTATTCTCCACGTTATTGCACAAGAAGATTTATACCGGATTCGGATCCTCTCCACTATCTAAAAAATAGTGGAGGGACCACTACATAATCACAACCATTAATTATCTAGTTGGTGGTTATGATTTTTTTCTTTGAGTGCAAATTAGGAAATGGTAAAATACATGTATCATAATCGCATACTAAGTAATCAACGATTGAGATTAAAAGTAATGGTCTCTCTACTACTTTTTTGTAGTGGAGAGATCCAAATTCATTTATACTGTTCTTATCCTATAACACCCAGGAAAAAAACTATTCATTGATATTTACCAGACTAGACTCCACATTTTTGTATTTTATAGTCCAAGAGTAGTGTATAAGATAACTGAATTTATCCAAAGTCATGAGACCAACTGTGAGACATTTTGAGTATATTTTTCATAGCTATTGATCTCGGGTTGCAATTCCAAGAGAATGACACATTTCATATTGTCGAATGACACATTTCATATTGTCTCATAGTTGGTCGATCCCATAACTTTGGACGGTGGGTTATTCGTTCTGGATTGTTAGTTTAGATTGAGACTTTTTGTCGGATTTTGATTTAAGGTGTCATTCGTTTACGTCTAGAATTTGGATTTAAATTTAACTTGTTAGCCGTTTAGGACTAAATATGAATTTAAATTTAAAGTGCTATCCATTCAAAAATAGGTTTCAGATTTAAATTAAAAGTGTTGTTAGTTTAGGTCTAGAATCAAAATTGTTTGAGTCGATTTCGTGGTCACATGGATCGTAGTCCCTCTACAATTTACCCAAAAACAAAATCTTTCTTCCCTCGTCTTCGGGCGGCTCCCTTTGCACTTCGGTGCGCGCTCGCGCGAGGCCCCGTCAACTCTTTTTCTTCCCATACTCTTCGAATCCTTCAAACCCTTTACTTATAAAATCACTTAATAATTAACCGAAAATAGCGAAAAAGGCAAGAAAATATGAACGATACCCATAAGCTTGAGGCCCCTCAAACAACAGAGGGATCCCCGCAAATCTCGATCCGGGTAACATCTATAATTATATCTTTTCCCGCTCATCAACGTCCCTTTTGTTGATTTTTAGTTAACTTAACCCATTTTTTCCGCTAGATTGCTGGGTTTTGAGGAGGGGAGACAGCGATTTAATCGGAAATAGCAGTTGGGTTCGTTTCAAAAATGCTGAATTTTAAGCCAAGGTACTTAAAGTTGTCTCCTTTGCTGTTGTTGTTCTATCCAAAATCCAGTCTTTGGGGCTGGGTTTTTTTTATCCTGAAGCTCGGCTATGTGGTTTGAATATGGGTAGGATTTCATGGGCCCCTGTTTTTTTCCTCGTGGTTTTGATTGATTGATCTTTGATTTTACCAATTCTTGTAATTTTTATTCATTTCTTTGATGTTTTCAAAGGTCCGAGTCCTCTGAAATCCCTTCAAAAGGCTCTCGGTTATCGCCAAGCTCAACGCAATCAAGATCAGTCAAAGGATTAAACTTTCAGGTGGACTCGCAAGATTCGAAAGCAGCTAAGGTGTTCGATAAGAAAACCGCGAACAAGCCCTCATCTTGGTTAGAGGTAAATACTTCGAGAAACTGCATCATTCTTATTCATGGGGACGTTGCATACTGATCTTTGTGGGAATTTCCTTCAGAGGCGAAGCGGTAAAGGTTCAGAGATGCCGCCACAAATGTATCAGCTCCAAGAGGAGCTGAGGAAAGCGAGGGAAGAGAGAACAAGGGCCCTTGAAGATCTCGAAGAATTGAGAAGCAATAAGAGGATGTCGGCGCTTAGTAATAAAGAAGAATTGGATGCTTTAGAGAAGAAGGTTGAGAAGGCAAAAGAATCGGAAAGGAAAATGCTAGAGGCTATGATCTCGCAAACTAAACAACTCGAGCAAACCAAGATTTTGCTTGAAGAGGCTAAGTTAGAGATAAGGTCACTTCATGACAACATCAAAAGCTTAGAGGAGAATTCCTCTTGCAATATTCGTGAGAATATAGAGAAGCAGCAACGTCCTTCAGATGTGATTCCAGCCAGAGAGGAAATCATTTCGCTTAAGAATGAGCTTAAACTAGCCACGCGAGCAGAAGAGAAGAGCAAAAAGGCCATGGATGATTTGGCTGTTGCACTCAAAGAAGTCACTACCGAGGTCAGTCAAATGAAGGCAGAACTCTCCACAACACAATCTGAGTTAGAAAAGGCCAAATTGGAAAGCGAGCGATCTAAATCTTTAGTAAAGATCACAGATGATAAACTGCGCGCTGCACTTGAAGATGCTGAGAGACTGAGATTGGACTCAGAGGACTATGTTGCTGGGTGGAAAGAAAAAGAGCATGGAATCATGAGTTGTATTAAGATGTCTGAAGAGGAGAATGCAAAATTGAAGTTGGAGAACAAGAAATTGCTTGAATCGCTAAGAGGGTCGAGAGAAGAGACTTCCAAGCTTCGGGACATAGTAAAACAAGCATTGAACGAAGCTACCGTGGTTAAAGAAGCTCTAGAGATTGTCAGAAATGAGAACTCTCATCTCAAAGATTTGTTATCAGTTAAAGAGAGTTCCTTGCAATGCATCAAGCAAGAGTTCGAGTGTCTTAAAGTCAGTGAAGCAGCAGCAGTTGATAGCGTAAAGGAGTTGAAGGGCTTTCTTGATGTGGCTTCATCTATGGTCTCAAAAACCCCCACAGGCGAGGTGAGCGAAAGCAAAAAAGTACTTAGAATTCCATCGATTCGTTCATGTACAAATGATGCAAAGAAAACACATAGGAGGAGACATTCGGTTGGTGATTTTGGCAAGTTAAAGTCTACGTTGAGTGAAAATGGGTCGTCGATGGAGCAGAGAAATCCGTTATTTTCTTCATTTAGTAATGTATCCGAGTGTAGAATTCCTTCATCTATATATGCTGAAGATGGGGAGACATTGACAACCTTTGATTTTGATCATGTTGTTGGTGATCAATCAAATGGGGTTGATTATGGGAATGGTTCACCTCTGATACAGAAGAAGAGGAAGCCTATGCTGAAAAAATTTGGGGGAATGCTTAACTGGAGAAGCTTCCACAGGTACTGAAAGCTTTATCGTATGTACATTACATTGTGTATGCATGATGGAAACAGACTATACTCCTCATTTGTGCTCCTTATGTAACTAAGTCAGGTCCCAACTTACCTCAATCCTTTTTATAGACAGATGAATGAAATATGTGCAAGTAATGATTGTGGTATAGCTTTATGTTTGAGCTTATGTCGTACAAAGAATGCAATTGGTACATTTTTATGTTCTCTTTTGTAGATGCTTTCCTCGGTCTACAGAAATGTTAAAAGATTCAATATATAGGTTTATGAAAGGGGTTAGCTGCAGATAGACCTCTGATAGTGTCATCGGTTCGAACTTGCTACCCCTCTAGTTTTATTGCTGCACATGGACCCTAGAGTGATTTTTTTTTTGAATATTTCCCTGAGATCATTGTTTTTCTGACTAATAGACCTCGTGCGGATTGAAGAGTCAAAAAGAATTCGCTCTGGGGGTATAATTGCAACAACAAACTAGAGGGTAGTGAGCTCAAGACAGCGGTACTAGCGGTGATCCGTCGTCCACAGTTAGCCTTTTACGAAAAACAAATTGCATGACGCACTAGAATGGTTAAGAAACACAAATCAGGTACCATAAAATATTTTCAAGTTATATGAAGCAGTAGTTAGTTACCTGAATATTCATAGTTAATGAAGAGGAAAGTATACTATCTGCATAGATGAGTCTACAAGAGATTTTTTTTTTTTTTTTTTTTTTTACAGATCATTGTTTTTCTGACTAATAGACCTCGTGCGGATTGAAGAGTCAAAAAGAATTCGCTCTGGGGGTATAATTGCAACAACAAACTAGAGGGTAGTGAGCTCAAGACAGCGGTACTAGCGGTGATCCGTCGTCCACAGTTAGCCTTTTACGAAAAACAAATTGCATGACGCACTAGAATGGTTAAGAAACACAAATCAGGTACCATAAAATATTTTCAAGTTATATGAAGCAGTAGTTAGTTACCTGAATATTCATAGTTAATGAAGAGGAAAGTATACTATCTGCATAGATGAGTCTACAAAAGATTTTTTTTTTTTTTTTTTTTTTAGCCCCCTCCCGTCTTTTCTACCATCAGAGAAAGAGTATTGTTTTTAACAAATAGACTTCCCGACTGTACGTGACTCAAATTTTCACTGAGGGGTTGTACCTACAAAAATAAAACTAAGGGATAGAAATCAAAACAACCATAAAAGATGAAACTTTGGGGCACTCAACTGCCAAAAAAACCCCAAGCATTGCTGCAACTTCAGGAACGCTACTAACAGGTGTTGGAAATTTCTGCTCGAGAAACAATACTAAGTTTCAGAAAACCCCCCTTATGTTTGGGCATTCCTCAGATAACCACCACAATGCTGAGTTTGTATACGAAAAGGAAGACCCTTAAGAAATACAATCTCCAAATATCCTCCAATAAACTGATCCAAGAGCTCGACATCTACCAGATGCACAAATGAAATAGTGAGAGTGATGGAAAGTTAAAATGGGGAATAACGTAGACAAAAAATCTTGTTGAAGAACAGATACTTGATAGTAGTTTTCATGCACCTGCATAAGTTCTTTTTATTCCTGATGTAAACTACTACGAGTTATTATCCATGAAATCTCCTTACACAGTTCCCATCTACCACTCAGCTAAATATCTCAATAAAAATATCAACCATCATCAATGTCAATAAAGCTAATAATTACGCTAATTTATTATTCATATAAGAGAATTAAGCTCATAATTTATTATCAACATATAGCTGGTACAACTTACTTTATAACTTAATTAAATTTGACTTCATTTCATCCCACTTAAGATACTTGCGGCCTCACGAGCAAAGTATGAGAAAATGATATCTGCACCAGAATATTTCATTGGTTCCAGGTACCGCTGTATGACATTCTCCACATTCACACATCCATCTTCCTGAGAAGCTTTGATCACATAGTACTCATTAAACACCTAGATATTGAAAGAAAAACAGAAATTAGGAGTCAAATATAGAAAATTAGGCAATAATCAAATTGTTAAAACAACATCATATAGATTTAAAGCATTGAACCACACAGCAACTAGTAAAATTACATAGAACCTATTATGGGTAATTAAAAGGCCAAAGTTCAATATACACCCCTAACGTTTTAGCTAAATTTCATTTGGATTCTTAAACTTTGAAAGTCATCATAGGTCTCCCCCAATGTTAATCCTATCAACTTAAGTCCTTTTTTATGTTTATCCATTAATAATTGCTAAGGAGGCTCATTTTTATCTTGCCATGTGGTCTCTCCCATTTGTCACATATACCACAACTTAAATGGCAAACTCTATTTTGCAGCCCCTTCCACATTGAAGAACAAAAACGATTCCCCCTTTCTCAAAAACCCTAATCAACATGACTTTCAAGGGGGTGTTGTAAAAAAAATTAGGGTGTAATTTATAATTTTCAGAACATTCAAGGGGTTGTGTGTAATATTTTCGAGGGTTATAAGTAATTACTGAACCTTTCTGACCGATGTTTGTACAATTTTCAGAGTTGTTTGCAAAATTTTCTGGAGCTTTTATAGTTATTCTAATTGTTCAGGTGTTGTTTGCAGTTTTCGAAACTTTTTAGGGACCACTGGTAATGTTTGAAAATTTTCAGGCGGTTGTATGTAACGTCCACAAATTTCAGGGTAGTGTTTGTAATTATTAATAACTTTCATGGGGTTGTTTGTAAAAAAATTCTCTTGCCTGCTTGTAATTTTTGACAATTTTCGGCGGTATGTTTGTTTTGTTCAAAAGTTCAAGGGGCTATATGTAACTTTTAAAACTTTATGAGGGCTATTTGTAATTTTAAAAACTTTTAGGGGTTGTTTGTAGTTGGTGGCAATGGGGGAGAGGGGGATCTAGTCAGCATTTAATCAGCAAAGAAAAAGGAAGATGACAAATTCTTGCCACAACAGCAATTCGTAATGGAAAATTGCAAGGACTTTTAATTGATGACAGAATTAATGTTAGGGATCTCTTTTGATGACTTTCAAAGTCTGAGGGCCCAAATAAAATTTGGCTAAAAACATTCGACACCTAATCTGAAGTTTTGCATAATTAAAAAAGAGTTGAGCTAGTTTACTATTAATAGTACCAAATATGCTTCAACTAGGCTGCAATTAAAATGCAAAAGTCAGGTAGATAATCATCTTGTAGATTCTCTTCAGCAGTGGGGCTCAAAGTCCATTCGTGCCTGTTAAAGTACGAGAGAGAGTCTTGGGTAACTTTTTCGTGAGTTGAATATTAAGTGTACACATATATTTATACAAGTAAAGGAGAGTAAGGTGTGTTCTCACAACCAATGTGGGACTAAAACCCACTACAATACACTATTATCAACAGCCCCCCTCAATGTTCTCACAACCAATGTGGGACTAAAACCCACTACAATACACTATTATCAACAGCCCCCCTCAAACTCATGTTGGATCAAACAAAGTGAGTTCACTATTATCAACAGCCCCCCTCAAACTCATGTTGGATCAAACAAAGTGAGTTTGCGTACAAGAAACTAGAACCGATAAACAGGTAAGGCCTTTGTGAAGAAATCTGCAAGCTCGTCAGCGGATAAGACATGAGGAAGTAGAATTATGGATAAAATGAGCGTCGATCTTAATATGTTTGGTCCTCTCATGAAATACTGAATTATTAGCAATCTGGATGACACACTTATTATCACAGTAGAGAAGTGTAGGAGTCGTATCAGAAATATCGAAATCACTAAGAAGGCGACGAAGATGAATAATCTCTTTAGCTGTTATTGATATTGCACGATACTCTGCCTCGGTGCTGGAAAGAGCAACAACATCTTGTTTCTTACTCCGCCAGGAAATTAGAGAATCACCAAAAAATATACAATAACCTATGATAGACTTCCTGGTAGTGGGGTCACCAGCCCAATCAGCATCAAAATATGCATAAAACTCTAACTTGGATGTAGCAGGAAACAGAAAAGAGCGAGTGCTAGTACCCCGGAGATAATCCGTAATAAGGTAGCGTAGTGTACAGAACGTGGGGCACTAACAAATTGACTGATAATGCCAACAGCATAAGAGATATCCGGTCGAGAGATGCACAGATAGACCAACCGGCCAATAAGATGTCGATATCAGGTAGGATCAAATAAATGCTCACCATCAGTAGAGCAAAGTTTGGCATTCTGTTAGAGTGGAGTATCGACAGTTGTATCGTCAGTTAGCTCAACTCGATCTAGAATATCCGAAAGATACTTCTGTTGAGACAATAGTATACCTCGCGGGCCTTGAGAAATTTCTAGACCAAGAAAATACCGAATAGATCCAAGATTCTTCATGTGGAACTGTTGTTGCAACTGAGATTTTGCGTATTATATACCAGCCACATCACCTGTAATGATCATATCATCTACATAGATGAGTAATAAAACTCTGTCACGTGATGTAGTGCGAACAAACACAGAAACATCTTGATGACTTTCCATAAAGTCCGTCTTGAGCACGACATCGCGAAAACACTCAAACCAAGCACGGGGTGCCTGCTTGAGACCATAAATAGCACAGCGAAGGAGAATAAATGTCCCGGAGGAATATTGGATCGTGAAGGCGGTTACATATATACTGTCTCAAATAAAGAGCCATGGAGAAAAATATTTTTGATATCTATCTGGTATAAGGGCCAACGATGAGCAGCATCGATCGCAAGAAGAGTATGAACGATGGGCATTTGAGCAACAGGAGCAAAGGTCTCCTCATAATCAATATCTTGTTGCTGAGTAAAACCTCGAGCCATTAAACGAGCTTTCCGATGTTCAATGGTGTCATCAAGACGATACTTGACCTTATAAACTCATTTACTGTCAACTAAAGAGATGCTAGGGGGACAGGGAACAACATCCCAGGTATGTATTTGTTAAAAGGCCTGAAATTCCTCAATCATAGCCTGTCGTCACTCTGGAAATTAAACGGCCTCTTCAAAGGACTTTGGCTCAACTGTAGTATGAATGGTAGCAAGAAAATTATGAAAGATAGATGAATATGAAGTAACCGAAGGATACCGTGCAGGCATGATATGTGGGCGTTTGCCTCAACGAAGAGTTGGAGGAACCTCAGGCGGGGGAGATGCTGGCGCAGGTGCATGGAGGTCAACAGTATTTTTTGGAGTGGGTGTCGTGTCTACGAGATAGGGATCAGATGGTAGAAGAGAAGGCTCGGGTGAGGGAGAGTCAACAGAAGGAGATGGAGAGATTTTAGGGAGATCTCGAAAGGAAAACTGAGGTAAGGAAGTGGGTGATGCAGCTGGCGGAGAAGCACGATCAGTAGTGTGGAGGAAATTGAAATTATCAGAAGCAGAATAAAATAGAGAATCCTCTTCAAACTGAACGTGTCGAGATATATGGACTCGACGAGATGCAGGATCATAACAACGATAATCGCGATGTTCCAAACTAATTCTTAAATAGACACAGAGAACAGCTCTGGGAGACAATTTATCATGTTCGTGAGATGGCAGAAGAACGAAACAGCGACACCAAAAACACGGACCAGATTATAACGGGAAGGATGAGTATAAACACGACTATGAGGAGTAGTACCGGAAAGAGAGGTAGATGGAGTGATATTAATGGCATGAGTAGTAGTGAGAATGGCCTCAGCCCAGAAACGACGAGGAACAAAGTAAGAAATGAGCATGGATCGAGCAGTATCAAGAATATGACGATGTTTGCGTTCTGCAATTTTCTCATGAATGTAGGGACATGACTGTTGAAAGAAAGTCCCATGAGAGGACATGATAGAACGCATGGTAGAGGATAGGTACTCTTTGGCATAGTCAGAATGAAAAAGTGTAATACGAGTTTGTCATTGAGTGAAGATCATCGCAATAAAGGCTTGATAAGAAGCAAGTACGTCAGAGCGGTTTTTAAGTAGGTAGACCCATGTATAACGAGAGAAATCATCGATAAAACTAACATAATATAAGTAGCCAGATGAAGAAGGCAGAGAAGCTGACCCCCAGATATCAGAATGAATCAAATCAAATAAGGAAGTGAAAACAGATGTACTAGTTGGAAACGATAGAACAGTGAATTTAGCCAATTTACAATCAGTACATGACTCAATATGAGAACGAGAGGATACGACACCAAGTACTCCGGACTGGATAAGACTTTCTGGTCTTTTATGAGACACATGACCAAATCATCTATGCCACAAATCTGCGGAAAGCAAGGTAGAGGATTTTAGACTTACAAAAACAATAAGAGAATGTGGACGTATGAACTCTGAAAGGTGAAGATATTCTAGAAAATACAGTTTGTGTCTCCTCCGACCGACCCCAACAATCTTGTCCGTCTGTGGATCCTGCACAATACAAGTATCAGAAGAAAATGAGACAAGTAGGTCATCCATACATAAGGAGCTAACAGAAATTAAATTCATACACAACTGAGGAGCCACATAGACTGGGCCAAGAGTTAGACGACCTGATGGATCAGTTTGTAGGGTGATAGAGTCATACTGAGTGATAGACAAAGGTTGTCCAGCAGCCGTGTAGATAGAGGGAAAAAAAAGTGAAGACAAAAGATAAGAGGGAGGCATTACGAGTCATATGAAAGGAACAACCAGAGTCAAAAATCTAGAGATCATTAGTACCAGAGACCGAAGGATTGGCTGAAGAACCAGCAAGACGCATACTAGAGAGTTGTGCAGTAAATGTAGAGGCTCTATGCTGAAGAGCATCAATTTGATGGTGAATATCAGAGAGTTGTGCAGCATATAGAGAAGTGGTATGCTGAAGAGCCGCAATTTGATGGCTAATATTTGCAATAGCTTGAAGAGCCTCAATTTGACGGCGAATATCAGAGAGTTTTGCAGCAGATGGAGAGGTGGTATGCTGAAAAGCCGTAATTTGACGGTTAATATCTGTAATAACTTAAATGGTAGGGTTTGAAGTGGTAGATAGCATAACATTGACCGGTAATTCTAGTGCACTAGAGGATCGGGACTGAGGGGATCGCTAACTACGGCCAGCTCCTGAGGAACGTAACTCAGGATGAAGCTGGAAACATGTCTCAAAACGGCGTCCCTCCTTCTTGCAATAGGTGCAAAAGAGCTTAGACTGAGCCTGAGAAGCAGGTGCCAGTGAAGAGGCTATAATAGCAACAATTCAAAGTTTAAGATAATAATCCTTGAATAAAACTGGTGACTAAGGTGGCCCGAAGATCGGTCGGATTAGATGCTCATGCCGGATACCTACAACGGATTAATGTCGATGTTGAGACGTTGAGACGTCGAGATGGATTGAGACGGCGATGTCGTTACTAACGGCAATGACGTTTGTTTAAGGCCGAGAGACGGCTTGAAACGGCGATGCCGTTAATTTGAGACCAAAAGACGGTCTTGAAAAACGGCTATGCCGTAAATTTGAGATCAAGAGATGATCTTGAAACAACAATGCCATTAAAATAAAACCCAAATGTTAGAATGAAACCCGAATGTTTAAAATATAACCCCGAAGATTAAAATGGAACCTGAAGGTTAAACGAGAACGTGAAATGCGTTAAGAGGCCGCAAAGCGGTAAGGCCAAAAAATCTGGCAGAGGAACGCAAAAAAAAAGCATTAAACGACTGCAAAGCAGCAAGACCAAGATTTGGTAAAAGAACGCAGAACCGTTAAAAAAAATTATTGGAAGGGAAATAATAACCCTATCTCTGATATCATGTTAAAGTAAGAGATAATCTTGGGTAAATTTCTCTTGAGTTGAATATTGAGTGTACACATATATTTATACAAGTAGAACAGGGTGAGGTGTGTTCTCACAACCAATGTGGGACTAAAACCCACTACAATACACTATTATCAATAGTGCTATTGCTAGGGCATTTTTCAAAAAGGTAAACAAATAGGATATCATTCTATGGCTAAAAAGAAAAGTAATATAAACAAAATATTACTTATTGGGGTTTATTTGAGGCTATAGTACGAAAGAAGTTATCCCACAATTGAGAAACACAGATTGCGCAATATTTTCTCTCTTGCTCCCTCACATACATAATTTCCTTGAACTTCAGATTCAGATATACCTGTTAGAATATTCTAGATATGCTTAGAATATTCATTCCTTAATTCATTCCTTGATCTCCCCCCTTTTATTAAGGATTGATTCTTTCCTTGATCTCCTCCCTTTTATTAAGGACTGTATATATTTAGGAGATTTTCATTCCTTGACTGATTCCTTGACTGTAATTCCATGTATAGCTCTTTCCTCATCCCTATATAAAGGGACCATGTTTCATTGTACTTGATGTGCTGAAGATACAAAACAATATTCTCTCTAATTCTTATCAATACTTATGTTATTGAAAACTTGTCTAAATTTTAAACGACAGAATCAAACTTTGATAAAGATAAAATAAACAAGTGATCAAGAACTAGGTCAAAGGAGAAAACTTTACCTTTTAAGGTCAAACAATTAACAGTAAGTACAATAAAGAGAAAATATTACACGGAAAGCTATGCTTATGGAGATTTTAGATTAAGCAAGAAACAAGAGCAATCCCTACGTACTCCTAAAGTTAGCGAGCCTCCTAAAGATGGTTGAGTGAAAAGTCCAAAACATGCTTATCAGTATCAAGAAACCTATCATCACTAAAAAGCTGCAACAGGCAATTTCAAAAAGGTAGGGTTCGAACTTTATGATATTTCCTTGAGGACTCTTATATAACGAGCCTCCTAAAGATGGTTGAGTGAGAACTCATGTTAAAGTAAGAGAGAGAGAGAGTCTTAGGTAAATTTTTCCTTGAATTGAATATATATACAAGAAGAGAAGGGTGTGTACACATACATATACAAGTAGAGAAGGGTGAGATGTGTTCTCATAATCAATGTGGGACTAAAACCCACTACTATATTATCAACAACTCCAAAACATGCTTACCAGTATCAAGAGAACCTATCATGGCTAAAAAGCTGCAACAAGCAATTTCTTAAAAAAGATAGGGTTCGAACTTCATGATATTTTAAATCTGCTGCATTTTGCGTAAGAGCTTACATAAATGAACTGCCGGTTTCTGGTTGGTTTTTAGCCTGTTTTCTTCAATGATTTAGGAATTTAAACTTAATATCAATCAAGCTGTTTTTTCAGTTTATGCTGTCAATGTATTAGTCTTTGGCAGGGTTTTTGTTAGGTTGTAGTAATATTTGTCTCTGATACATTTGCAGTAATCTATGCGCTTTAATTGACTTTGTCAGTACTTAGTAGTATCTTGGTTTTATGAGATTAAAAATGTGGAACGCGGATAGTGTTATTGATAACCTTCATATATCATGGAGAGGATTAATACTAAGGTTGTGCTTGGGAATTCAATGATAGAAGGAAGTTAAGTGAAGAGGGGTTAAAACAAGTAAAGGGAAGGTGGGGAAAATATGTCTTGTTTGGGAATTCAGTAAGGCGAACGGAAAGGAACTTATTCCACCTTGTTTGGGAACTTCAACGAAGGGAAGGGAAGGGAAGATAACTTCAAACTCAATGTGAGCCATCAGATTTGATCATGAAGGGATAAAAACATCCATGAGGGTCAATCATTTTCTGATCAAGTCCCTTCCCCTCCATTACACTCCAATTTGGAGGGGAACAGATTATACAATCCTTCACCTTAGCTAACTTCCCCTCCACTATCCTCCTAAAATGAGTTCCAAAACAAGGTTATTGGTTCTCTTAACTTCCCTTACATAGTTTCCCTCAATCCAAACAGGACCTAAGACTATTTTGTTTCAATTATTTCTTCATTGCAAAATAAATATAAGGTATAATTATTTATGGACTAATCCGCGAGATATCCATATTGTTCTTCTTGAAAGATACTGCTTATCAGCATATCCACATTAAGTAGTATCCACATACATCCAAATTCATGCAGCCGAGTGAATAAACTAATTTCACGTGTTTAAGATGGGTTTCATGTTGTACCTTGAACCTATAATAACGATAGGTTGTATTGTGTGTGTTGTTTATTCATGACATTGTTTAGCGCATGAGAGAACACACATTAATTATTTGTCCAACTAAAAATATGGGAGAAGCTGATGTACTAAAGATTTAAAATCTGTAGAAAGAAAACAAGAAAAACGAATTTATTAACTAGCAAACTCAGAGAACAATAAACAGGAAGTACTCAAGAATGCTATATGTTTGATAAATAAAGAAACTAATGCCACCTTAGAGAATACAAGATGTTCATTCGGGCCAATACTCCTAAAATTTCATGTAGCCTGGCAAAAACTGTACCTGATATGCAGCAACTGGTAAAGAAAACTTAGCCCGAAGGCTTTCTAAGACATTCACAAAAGAATGACCTGGTTTTACCTGAAAAAACAGCAGACATTATGTATCACAGTATGAGCAGATAAATTTAAAATCATCTCAATCTTTTTGTATTATGAGATAAAGATTAACCATAAGAATATCAGCTCCTTCAACCACAATCACACCGTTTCTGATAGGGTTTTCGCCATAAATTGATTCGTCACACCTATACAAAAGGAAAAAAGCACATAAAATTGGTTCAGAGAGCAAATTAATATGGAAATAAAGAGAAAAGACAACAAGAATAATAGGAAATGTATACATTTTCTCATCTACAAGCAGCGGGCTTAAATCCAAAACGTCATAGAACATTGCGGCGTAAGTGCTCGCATGCCTGTTTCCATAACATACATCACATAAAGGTCTATCAAGTATCAAGATTTTAACACCAAGTTCTGGTGGTAGACTAAGAATCCAGTGACACAGGATATATACCTTGAAGTGCAAGACATAACAGAAACATCATGAAATCCTTCATCATCCAAAGCTGATCGAATTCCCACATTAACCCTTCTATCCATAGAACCACTGGGACATACAACATCAGCACCAGCACGAGCCTTTTGGAGGGAAAGAAAGAGGATATTCTTTGACTCAATAACATCAAGGGTGAGAAACATTTAGCTATAACATTAAAGATCTAGGATACATAATTACCAGACAAAGCGCCTGTTCACACAACTGACTGACCATCTCATCATTAGAGACGAGTCCTGTCAAAAAAACTGAAAAGAATCGAATTAATAAATTTGTGACTAAGAACATTTGGCTGCCCATAGTGACACCTCTGAACATCCATGACGGTGAGTGGCTGCACATCAGGGTACAGAATAGAGCAAGATTAAGGTATCAACCACTGATTCTTAACTATATATGTGGCCAGTAAATCAGCGGCAAAAATTCAATTAAACCTCTCGATGATGCTCTGCTGCAATTCCATGAAACTATAAAAAAAAAGTTTTATTATTCTACCCTATGATATTTTAATTTTTTATATCTCGTATATAGAATTCATTATTCAACTAGCTAAATTTACTACATTACTATCTTTAAGATGAAAGAAATTGAAATGTAAGTAGCCATGCCACGAGTGAAGAATAGTACCTAGAAAAACCGAGGATCTCCACTTTGCAGGATTTTAACAGACCCATGATTGCCCTCAAATGGTCATTTATATTTCTTATACCCAATTTGCAAAATTATCCAACCCTTAGAGATCGTGCAGAAATATCATGCTACAAGCTGTACAGCTATCAAAGTAAATAAAATATTCATCTTTAATTTAAAAGGTGATGAATAATCCCTAGAATAACCTAAGATCTACTACTTTGTAGGCTTTTAACGGACCCAGGTTTGCTCTCAAATGTTTGTTATATTTCTTATACTTAATTCACATGATTACCCAATATTTAGTGGCTACATATCAGTCTAAAATGGTTGTGCAGAAATATCATACCACAGGCTGTTCAACTATCAATGTGCATAAAATTAGAAAATATTCTTCTTTTTTAAAAGGTAAATACCAGATAACCATCCCCTAAAAGAACTTACAATCCAAAGTATCAGATAACCACAGGGTGTAAGTGCTGTAGTCAATTAGAAGCATTCTATCGAGATCACTTATGACAACAAATTCCTAGCCCGCATATTCATCTGTCCTCTTTAATACTTCACTAAATGATACCGACCAGCATTTATATAACACTAATCAGGACGCCATACAGGACTATTTCTACATCTTATCAACAATCCCATTGATGTTTTTTATTTTAAAAACTCTGTAATGGGTTTATGTCAGCCCTTATATCATAATGCTTCCGCCACTGCATTTATTACGTGGATGTTCCCGTGGTTTTGTAAATTCTTTTTACTCTCAATCACTTCAGTTGACTAGTTTCCTGTAAAGGTAGATGAAACCCAAATCCATTTGAAATCATTCCTAATTTAACAGTGTATGAATGACATTATACGTGACATCCAAACCTCTAAAAGTAGCTATAGGTTTGGCAAAGGAGAACAACTCAAAGACGAGAAGCCATACATGAATTAATCAAAGTTAGTCAGCTTAACTTAATCTTCGCCAAGGTGCCAAATATCTAGCCCATGTAGCATTAAGAAAAAGGGAACTATGCCATAGAACCTAATGGCCGCGGCCATGTGCCAACATAGACTGAGCTACCATTTAGCCATGTACAAAGGAGTTGGTCTTGTATTCCTTATACAAAGAGTGAGATTATTAACTTGATATCCTACATTCATTTTAATGGAATAAATATGCCAAACAGACAAAAGGTGTCGTTTGCCAATAGAAAATAGCTTTAGAATCAAGTTGGGATTTAACAGTACTCATAATGTCTTAAAAAACGTTGATCTACTCACAAAGTGAATAGTTGTGCTCTACTTGCTGCTATATCATAGGTGAATATAATTCTAGGAAAGATGTTTTCATTCCAGGCGATGAACCTTCAGCCATAGCACACATATCTAGCCTCATCATAAAAACAAAGGAAAAGAAAAGGAAGCAAATATGCCAAACAGACAAAAGTTGTCGATTTCCAATAGAAAATAGCTTTAGAATCAAGCAAGTTGGGATTTAACAGTACTCATAATGTTATAAAAAACATTGATCTACTCAAGAAGTGAATAGTTGCGCTCTACTTGCTGCTATATCATAGATGAATATAATTCTACGATGTTTTCATTCCTGGCGAAGAACCTTCAGCCATAGCACACATATCTAGCCTCATCATTAAAAAAAATGAAAAGAAAAGGAAGCAAATATTTATAAGAACACAAATGACGTCAGAACCTTGAAGTATGTCTGAAAGCAAGAAAACTACTCACCCCCAAATTTATATAGGGCAGCGGGTACCTTCCCCACCTTGGGCAAGCTAAGGGAACTACTGGCTGAGGTTGTACTTGTACAGCCTGCCAAAGTATGCCACATGATTACCTTTAGAGCATGTCACGAAATAATACCATATACCAATATATATGTTTCTTACTCTCCTCTAGTATTTACCCAGTGCATATGAATAAGGTGGCCTTAAACAGAAAATATGAAGTAACATCTGCTCTCCCTCCCCAATCGCTGACAAGACACTTAGGTCTATAGCTATCCTATAGATTTTCCCATTTAATGCAAAGATATTCTACAATCATATATGACTCCGTAAACACTTTGATTTCAACCATCTTGATCTGATTCGATGAATTACATCACCTCAATCTCTGACAAAAAACTATTACTAAATAGCGAAAATGACTACTCCTAGGCATTTGTTGCATGTCAGCATGTATATACAATTAATCTTTTAAGCAGTTCATTTTTTTCTTGTTTTTGTTATACTAATTCTAAATTCTTAGATTCGAGAGCTTCTCTCCACCTTTGTGTAGATGAACGCACATGACCTCGTCGGAGACGGCAAAGATGGATGGGCGATGCAGTTGTGCTCGCCTGCGTGGAGAGGCGAGTCGCTCTCCTGTGGAGAACTCACCTGATGGCGAGGTCGTGGAGGCGAGGGCGAGATGCTTGCCTGTAGGCGAGGTGCAGGCGAGGGATTCGTCTGGCGAGGGCTCGACAGGCGATGTTTTGGACAGGCGAGGAAGACTCGCCAGCGTGCGTAGAAGGGACAAGCGGTTCGTGTGTCGCCTGCGGGCATGTAGGCGAGATCGAGGGGGCTCGCCTGATGGCAAGGGTTTGAAGGTGAGATTGGAGCTCGCCCGCTCGTGTGTCGATCTCGCCTGTTTGGGTTAGGGACAGCTGTATCCTATAAAAGGGAAACCCTGTTCGTGAGCACGAGATGAGCAGCAGAGAGCGTCAGAAAACCCCGAGCGGCGGCGGAGCTTGTTTGAGCGAGAGAGAGCGTGAGCAGGAGATTTTGGCGGAGGAAATTTTTCCCCCTTTTGATTTGAGCTCTGAATTGGGTGTTTTCTCTCTCTCTGCTTTTGTGCTCCCATTTGTTCCCAAGTTTGTCCTCTCATTAATTAAGTGTAGAGGGGTTGGTGAAATTAAATTGGGGTTTTCTTTGGTAGTTAAGAGAGATTGTTTGAGCGGTGATTTTAGATTAAAATCACCTGCTATTTGTTGAGAGATCTCAAGTTTGAGATCTTCTCTCTTATTTATAATTTTTTGTGATTAATAAGAAATTATTTGTGTCGCTCCCGTGGACGTAGGCAAAAATTATCGAACCACGTAAAAATTGGTTGTTTGCGTTTGTGTCATTATTGTGATTGTGTTAGTCCTTCTCTCTTGGCGTTTGTATTTGATCTCAGTAGAAAGTCCAACAAGTGGTACCAAAGCATATCATCGGTTGGCACAACAAGTGGTATCAGAGCTCTGGGCTATGCTTGGGCTATTTAGAGGAGTAGATCACTTTGGAAGTTCGTCTAGGGCTTCGTTTGATGATAAAGATGGGATTTTTACTATTGGTGATCTTGTCTATCGTCGTGTGGGGGTGAGATCTTTTGGAGGCTCTTGTTAGAGGTTCAGTTGGAGGTAAAAAATTTCTTTTTATCAGTTTGGATCTATTCTTCATTTGTTTCGCACTGGTTGTTGGTGCCTTGAGGTAGATGGCTGAGAAAGGAGTTGTGGAGGATTCTTTCTGTGTGAAGACCGTCCAAAGTTTAAATATTCACTCTATGAAGATAGACGTGGAGAAGTTTAATAGCACTAACAATTTTGGACTTTGACGATGCGAAGTCTTGGATGCGCTCAACGCGCAAAATTTAAAAAATACATTAGAGTTTGATGGGAAACCGGACGACATTGATGAGAGGGTTTGGAAGAAGATGAATAGAACGACGTGTGGTGTGATTAGGTCTTGTCTCACTCAAAATCTAAAATATGATGTGATGAATAAGACTTTGGCTAAGAAGATTTGGGAGGTCCTAGAGAACACGTATTTGACGAAAAGTGTAGAAAATCGTTTGTATTTGAAGAGGAGGCTTTATTGCTTCCAATTGAAGAAGAAGACCTTCATTAGTGATCACATGAACCACTACACGAAGCTTCTTACGGATTTGACGAATATAGATGTGATGATTGAAGATGAGGACAAGGCGTTGTTGTTGTTGAGTTCCTTACCTAACGAGGAATATGAGACCTTCGTTCTTACTCTTATTAATGAGAAGATATCTCTTTCGTATAGTGAGATCACCGTTGTACTTGTGAATTATCGGCTTCGAAAGAAGGATAAGGAGACTTCTATTGAGCCTGTAGCGGGGGCATTGATCGCAAAAGCAAAGAGTCCAAACCGTGGCAGGAGGTCGCAGTCTAGAGGGACACATTCTGGAGTTCGTAGGAACCAGTGTGCCTTTTGTAAAGAAGATAGACATTAGAAAGCCGAATGCCTAAAGTTGAATGATCGAGCCGGGAAGAATAGGGAGAAAGCTATTCAAGCTTCAGAGGTGAATGTTGCCAGGGCTAGAGGCGACAATTTAAATTCGGATTCTTCAGGCTACTCGTTATCTGCACTACCGTCAGTTTGTATTGCCGACTCCACTGAGTGGATGTTGGATTCGGGTGCTTCTTAACATATTTGCCTTAAGAGGGATTGGTTCTCTAGCTTTCAGGAGTTGAAAAGAGAGGATGTCATACTCGTGGGTAATAACCACGAATGCTCTATTAGTGGTATTGGTATCGTTCGTATTCGGATGAGTGACGGAGTGATACGAGAATTGGATGAAGTGAGGTTCGTTCCTCAGTTGAAGAAGAACATCATTTCACTTGGAGCTTTGAAGGTAACAGGTTATAGGGTGACCTTGGTGGATGCACGTTTGAAGGTCATATTAGGGTCCATGATTGTGATGAAGGGCGTCAGAAAGAGCAATTTAAATTATTTGCTTAGAAGCACGGTGATTGATAAAGAGCTGACGACTTCATTGGATTTGGCTAGACTGTGGTATTTATTGAGACTAGGGTATTTGATTAGCCATGTCGTGCATGGATTGTTGAGGAGTGCTTTGACCTGTAGATTGAAGTCTTTTGAGCACATTAGGATGAGCGAGAAGATCGAGATGGAGTTTGGCACTTCTATCTGTTGGTCTTCTTATTTTGATGATGATTTAACAAACAATTTATATCTAATATTATTTATTTAGTGTTTGTGTTTTGTTATTTATTGTAGACAAACAATAAGTTGGAGGATAGATTGAATTACGCCTACACGATCATATCTAATGGAGATTGGAAGAATAATGGGTGAAGCCTATGCAACTCAAATTGAAGATCCAAGTTCTAGCGTCATCCGCGAGTTTACCAAGTTGAGCTACAATGAAGATCAAGATCAAGCTTGGGTAACATTAGTTTAGATTTATATTATGTGTGTTAGTACTTTAAGCTCAATCATCTATACATACACATTTATTGGTTTCTTCGTATATATATATATATCGTTATATATATATACACATAAGTTTTGGTTTCTATGCATATATATAGTTATATATATACATACATGTATTTTGGGTTTTTATGTTTATATATATGAAATTACATATTTCATACTCTATTGTGTTTTCATATATATTGCATAGAATATGCAATTTTGTGAAAATATTGTATTCTTTGTTTATGGATTTAATAACAATCATATACATCTTTTATTAAGTCTACAAAATCATTTTATATTGTTTCAAAATATGGTTAAGCTAAAATGTCAAAACTCATATGTTCACATTTTTATGTTTTGGACTATTTTGTAAAATGATGATTTTTCATAAATGTGAAATGCAATTTGGTAAATTCTTTATGTAACATGTTTATTTACATGTTTATATACATTTCTCAAAGTTTTATTATTTTTTGACTTTATTTGTTATTTTTAACATATTTTTAAAAATCTCAAAAACTGTTTACAAAAACCTGTGAAACCCCATGTATCAGTTCGCGGTCGACCGCCACGGTCAACCGCCTGTAGTTCATAATTTATTTTGCATTTTTATGGATCGCGATCGACCGTCACAGAGACTTTCGCGGTCGACCGTCACGGTCGACCGCCTGCTTTCCATAGCCTTTCTTCAGCTTTTTGTTGCTCGCGGTCGACCGCCGAACTGTCAGATCAGTTCAACTGCTAGTTTCTGAACTGTTTTCTCTTGGGCTTTTTGGTTATTTTGATTGGGTTTTTTGGCTGAGGTTTTGGGAGGCTATAAATACCTCATTGCTCTCATCTTTCATGCATAATTAAGAGAATATTTTAAAGAAGTTTTAAAAGAGTTCAAGTTTGTTTTAAGTTTGTTTAAAGGGTTTGTTTTGTGAAAACAATTTCACAAGAGCTTGAGAAAGATCATCTACATTGTTTGAGCATCCAACTCTTCTACCTCTCCCTCTTGATCTATAGAGAAGTTTTTCTAAACTCTATTTCTCTCCCTCTTGATCTATAGAGAAGTTTTTCTAAACTCTATTTCTAGCTATTTATTGTTTTATTCATAAATTCCCATAAGCTAGATTTTAATTGAGTTTTTGTTGATTTGATTTCACTCATTGTTTACACACACCCACTTGAGCTTATTGTATTTACATACATAGTATATTGGGATTATGAGAGATTGTAACATTGAGTTATGCTTAATTGAGTTCTCACCTTGTATTAGAGAACAAATCATTTGTTGTTATTTGTTAGTGTTGTAAAGTTTTCGGTGAGCTAGAAAACCGAGTGTGAGGAGTGAACGTTGATCGGTGAGCGTTGAAAACCGACATTGTGAATGTGAGGAGTGAACGTTGATCGGTGAGCGTTAAAAACTAACATTATGAGTGAGGTGTGAACGTTGATCGGTGAGCGTTGAAAACCGACATTGTGAGTGAGGTGTGAACGTTGATCGGTGAGCGTTGAAAACCGATATTGTGAGGTGTAAAAATTATTCGGATGAGCGTAAAAAACCCGGTTGTGATAGTGGATTTCTCCCCGGGAGTGGGGAGCGGAGACGTA